GACTGGTCGATACAATGAGTGATCTGTGTAACGGAGAATGAAAATCATATCTATATTTGGACGGTTTCTCCTGTTGCTTTAAACGGCTTATACGCATGCACTATTAATTATACTTGCCTGAGTGTTTTAGTTTAAAATCTGTCATTCATTAAAATGCAATAAACCCTTTGCATACTCTTCGATTGCATCGATAACATACCTTTATTCGCTTTATTTGTTCATTTATTCGAAATTAACTAACCAATTGAAGTTCACGAGATACATTGAATATAATGAAAACTGCAAAGCGATCTTTGAAAAAATAACGACCTACTTTATATTGTGAATCTTTAAAGAATAAACATTTAAAGCTTAAAATTAACTTGTAACCGAATTAAGATAAAATTTAGGTACGGTGCAAGAAATTTAAAAACCTCAATCTCCCTATATCAAAATAATGCATAAACTAGTGACATATTGAAATAAATTTCTTAAATTATCGATCTAAATAAATTTCTTAAATTATCGACCTAAATAAATGGTCTAGAACTTCTTTGCATAGCCAAAGAATAATAATATGTACTTAAGAGTAACTATTATCTGCATATTGAAATAAGCCGCTATTAAGAATGTCATATTTAGATCACTTCCCCATTGAGTTAATTGACCTTTATTCTATATAAAGTGATTGTGGTTTTTAAATTTCCTGCACCGTACGTATGTCACTTTGTTTAATCAATAAGTATGCAAATCTAATATGATGGGGCCAAGACGACCTTTTTTTTATTATTCACGCAAATAAAGATATATTAATAATCATGGCAAAAAAATGCTGCGGTATCGTGATCTCTGACCGTTTCCAATCTGAAAATCAAAATAAGGTGAAATATAACAGATGTGATGTAACTAGTATTTAAGTGGCTATTATTGTTCGAAGTGTAGTGAGGGCTGTTTGAATGCTATGCTAGTCCGAAAAACCAATGAATATAACTCTATTGAGCTAAAGGCTATCCCTTTAACAGACTTGCAGGAAAATTTGCTTGCAAAAGTCTGTCGTTTAATGGATAATATCGTATATGCAAAATAGCTCTTAATTTTTGCTTCGAACTTTTATCAGGTTCCTTAGTATAATTAACAATATCTTTTGTAAGAACGGTATCAAAAGTCAGATAAGATGGGGTGATTTTTATTGATTTAACCAGGTGGCACTTATGCCTGAAATTTCGTATCGGTACGCGACATTTAGCGTTAGACACATTTAATCATATCATAAATATCACCTGATTTATCAATAAAAATCAATTTTTTTGCCGTTTCTAGAATACACTCTGTTAGCTTTAGAGATTTGCGTGGTGACAAAAGGATAGATTAGTGGAGCAACCAAAATTCAGCGGATCGACCAAAATTTAGGATCGAAATAGGCCGGAGTTGATAAATTTCTCCCAAAATCACACAAAATTTTATTAATAAAATGGTAGCCCACGTACTAAGTAAAGCTGCCCAGATGATAATTTTGCTGTAGTAAAGTTGGTTGATATTATTGCTTAACGCCGGTCTACCTTCATCTGCTGAATTTTGGTTGATCCACTAATCTATCCGTGACAACGCCAAGCCACACTTTGCCCGATTCGGGGTTACCTTTCAAATTAAGATCGTTGGTGTTATTCACATTTTCTAATTTTGCCAATGCAATTAAAAATGTCCAACGCAAGGTCATTATTCTGATGAGATGGCACTTATTTGGGAACTGCCGATACGCCCTCGATAATGTTTAGTATATTTCTAGTATATATATATATATATATATATGACTGTATGAAGAATGTGGGCGTCATATGTAGATACGTACGTACGTACGTAATTGCGAAATTATGCATGCATATAAATTAGATAATTAAAGGTAGTAGCACTAATAATAGTAATACGTACGTACTTACGTATAAAAATAGTTTCACATAATGATAAATAATACTCAAATTCACAATCACTAATGGAGGCTTAATTTCGAATCCATTAGTAGAAAAAAAACGTTATTGTACAAATCGGAATGATTAGCGTGTAACTTATTCAAATTCCTAATGCATACGACGAACCAAAGCCTTTTATTATTTGGCAATTGTTGATTGAAATAGAAAAAAGATATATAATCAACTTTTTTTTCATAAATCAAAACTAATTATTAGGTAACAAAAATGAAATTATCATATAAAGGAATATTTGATATATACAATATAACTTTTATAATCTGCTTTTTTTTGCTTTTTAGCAAAAATTATGCAGAGAATAGTAAAACTAATCATAATGGAACTATAAATTCTACAGCTGCTACACCATACCCAAAAATATTCAAAGAAACTTACAATGTTAAGAAATTAGACTTTTTAGTAATCGGTGATTGGGGATATCAAGGGAATGGATCTGGACAACGATCTGTTGCCGATGCTATGAAGAATTGGGCAAAGTGGAATAGTTCTCAGTTTATTCTTAACGTTGGTGGTAAGTTTTATATCTTAATCTTTATTATTATATATTATTATACATTATTATATAAAAGAATATTTAATAAATATAACCGTCTTTATTTATATAAAGATAGTTTTTATCAAATTAACGACAAAGATTATGATGGTGTTTTAAGTCTAAATGATCCAAAGTTTAAAACATATTGGTTGGATGTATACACTGAAAGATTAGCTGACATTCCTTGGTTCACTGTTGCTGGAAATCACGATTGGTAATAACTTTATCTTTTAATTAATACACTTAAAAAAAAAACCGACATATTAAAATAGATTGTTATACATGTGAATATAGGTATACGAACGTCTCAGCACTAGTAGATCACTATCGGTTAAATGATAAGAGATTCTTTATTCCTTCACTTTTTTACGTTCGTATATCAACTTTTGGGAAACATAAAACAAAAGTTGCATGGATACATATCGACACCGATCCATTCGCATATTACTATAATAATTTAACAGACAAGAATGAACTTAAAGCTAATCTTGCAAACATGGGTTTTAATAATAACGATAATATTGAAGAAAGATTAAATTGGATAGAAGATCAATTAAAGGCTGTCAGCCATATTAAATGGATTTTTGTTGTTGGTGTGTATTTAATTAATTAGCCTAGTTTTCTTTCGATACATTTTATCAATCTTTCTAAATTAACGTGTTTAAAAAGGTCATCATGCGCTAGTGGGCGAATGCTCATATACTTATTATTTTCCTCGCCTTCGATCGCTCTTAAACAAATACCGTGTAACGGCCTATTTTGCGGGTCATAATCATGTGTTGGAAATAGAAACTACCAATAATACGTCTCCTGTTACGTATTTCACTTCAGGTGCTGGAAGTAGATTTGATTTGGAAGGTTGTAAAGGCGCCACTTGGGGTGCTCCAGGCGGTACTATGGGATTTTTACACGTTAGTATTGAAGACGGTTGCGATCAGCTATACTACGAGTATGTTAACGCGACTATCATGGGACAAACACCCCAAGTTGTAAAGCAAGGATTTGTCAGTGTGAGAACTGTTTAATTTTGCGGATCGAGTTTAGAATAACTTGTGCTGAAATAATTGGAGCTGAAGATGTGAAAAACCATACTTTAGAATATTCAGCCGAATTAGATTCAACGTCCAGATATTGAATCCAAATTAAGTATACTGAAATATTAATTTAGATTAGTTAATAAAAAATTTTTTTGTTTAAAAAAATATAGTTAATTCCTTTATAATATTCGTGATATACCGTGTTAGAATTGTTTTCGACGATTACTTTCCCGTTTACTTGACATCATACAAGTGACACTCTATATCCACAACTAATACAGTCATACCTGGGTTATATCACCCCTTTTATCCAGGGCATTTTTGGGGATATAACTAAGATAGGGATATAT